AGTAAAACCAGTTACATGCAACAATATTTTTCCCCCTATTTATGGGAAACACAATACTTCAGTACATGTTTTAGGAAATGAATGTCTTACCGAACAACTGAATAAATACTTTTTCTATTGTTTATTATACTATCCTAACAAAGAAAAGAAAATGTAATAAACCAAATTGGGTAACCAAGTAGATTTTGTTTAAATTTTCTGTCCTTATTTGGGCCATACAAAAATCTTACCTTTGTGAAAAAACATCGCGGTAAGGACTGCCATGTTGTAATGCAATTCCGTATCCCCGATCAGCAACGGTATTCCCAATGGTATAAAAGGAACAGTCTGGATCATTGATAGCCACATATTCCAATACAGCTGCATCCCATACAAAAGCATAATTTCCATATTTTACCTGTGAAAATATGGAGAACAAGAAAAGAAAGGATTTAAGGTTAGAATTTTAAACATAGGATAAGAAACATAACATTGGTATATATTTAATTGTACGAAAAATAATAAAACATACAGTCATCCCTTGGCATCTGTGAGGGCTTGGTTCCAGGACCCCCACGTATACCAAAATCCAGGGAAGCTCAAGTCCTTTATATAAAAAGGCGTAGTTTTTGCATGTAACCTACACACATCCTCCAGTATACTTAAATCATCTCCACACTACTTATAATGCCTAACACGATATGAATGATATATAAATAGCTCTTATACTATATTGTTTTTATTTGCATTTTTTAAATTTTTTCTTTTCGAAATATTTTTGATCTGCGGTTAGTTCAATCTGTGGTTGCAGAACCTGCGGATACAGAGAGCTAACTGTATATTTCTAGGTAAACTCCTATTCTGAATGAGAATTTGCATTTTGGTGAATCTACAGTTCTATTCTCCTGGGAACATGAAGAAAAGTGGGATGTTAGCTACGCTTCTAGGCAACATTGCTTGTGGTAAAATGTCTCCTGTATGGTGAATGTCATTTGGACTGGAAGAACAAAAAAACGCATGAAAGGAAGCCACGTCTTTGAGTTTCTATGAGTTTAGTGATTCTTGTATCTCAACCTGTTCCTTCTTGGGACCCTGAAAGCTATGTTTTTGGAGTTGTCACAAGAGCTACTGACTCTTCAGGGTTATCAGGCCTGTGAGCCAGGCAGGCATGTGCGCTCACCCGCTATAGGTATTATTTCCTTGCATGTGACCCACTTTGTAAATGAATGCTGCAAGTACGACATGGAAGACAAATGACCAATGCTGCCCTGCTAACAAGCTATATTTTCTGTCCTATGTCCTTCTGACTTAATTTGTTGTCAAGTACGGCCTATGCATATTTGCAGTTGGACTTAGAAGGAAACTGGCTGGAGGGCTTGGCAAATGAGGAAAATAATAATTTTACTACCTCCCCTATCATCATGTAGGGAGTATAACTTTATTGTGGGTCATTTATGATATCTTTTAGTGATTATTTTTTTCCCTCAGTAATCACTCATATCCTAAGTCATTAATTTACCAAAAAAAATCCTAAACATATTAATAAAGTTTATTTAGAACATTATTATGTATAAAAATAGAACGTAATGACTTCA